GCTAGAGATTGTAAAATTATAGAAGGTTATTATTATAAGCCTAATAATAACGTAAATATTAATAAAATATTTACAAAACTAGAAGATCTTTCTTCTAATAATAATAATAATATTATAGAAGAAGACTTTAGTAAAATAGAATCTATTACTAGTAATAATAATAATAGTAAAATTATTATTAATAATAGTAATAGTAATATTATTATTAATAATAATAACTCTAAATTTAAAGATTCTAAAGATAAGTTATTAATTAATAATAATAATAATAACTCTAATAAAAGAGTTATTTCTTCTAATAATAATAATAGTTTAGTAGAACTAGACAATAATTATTCTAAAGATAAACTAGCTATTAATTCTACTATTATTATAGAAGATAATAGCTTTAATAATAGTAAATTAAATATTAATACTAGTAAAAACAATTAGAATACTCTTTATAATAATTCTATTATAGAGAATATTTTAAATACTAGTAATAATAGTTTAATAGAACCTAAAAGTTATAAAGAAGTATTAAGTAGAAAAGATAAAGATCTATATCTAGCTACTATAAAAATAGAAGTAGATAATCTTATTAAAACTAATACTTAGAATATAACTAATAAACCTAATAATATTAATATTATTAAAGGTAGATAGGTTCTTTCTAAGAAATTAAACTTAGATAATACTATTAAAAAATATAAAGCTAGATAGGTAGCTAAAGGCTTTCTACAAAAATATAATATTAATTATAAAGAAACCTTTGCTTCTACTAGTAAGCCTAGTATTATTAGGCTATTATTAGCTATTTTCTGCTATCTAGATTAGGAAATTTATACTTAGAATATTAAATAAGCTTTTTCTAATGTAGAAATAGATAATAATAATATTTATATACAATTACCTATAGGCCTAGAAGAATATATCTTAAAAAAGGCTTTAAAAGATATTATAGATAAAAGTTTAATAGACTTTATTAATAAAGCTATTTTAAATAAAGACTTTAATAATCTAGTTTATAGATTAAATAAAGCTTTATATAGTCTAAAATAAGCTTCTAGGCAGTAGCAATTATTTTTAACTAAAATTCTAGAATAACTAGATTTTAAAGTTTTAAATATAGATAATAGTATTTTTATACATAATACTAAATCTATTGTATTAGCTACACACGTAGATAATATATTAGTATTTGCTAAAAATATAAATCTAGTTAATAAGTTATATAAGAATTTAACTAGAACTTCTAAATTAGAAATAACTAATTTAGAAGAAATTAAAGAATTTCTAGGCGTAGAAATAATTAGAGATAGATCTAAGAGATCTTTAATTATAACGCAAAGAAGTTTTATTAATAAACTATTATTTAAATATAATAAGCTTTTAAATAAACCTAAATCTATACCTTTACCTATAGAAGTTAAATTATCTAAAAATTTAGAAGATAGTTCTATTATTAAAGACTATTAAAAAGAAATAGGTAGTTTAATTTATTTAACTATATTTACTAGGCCTAACCTAGTTTATAGTGTTAATTACCTAGCTAGATTTATATCTAATTCTAGTCTAGAACATTATAAATACTTAAATTTTATATTTAGTTATTTATTAAAGACTAGTAATTATAGCTTAGATTTAACTCTACAATCTTTAGAATCTAATAATTCTAATAATAATACTATTAATAATATTAATAATAGTATTAATTTATTAGGTATTAGCGATTTAGATTAGAGAGGTAATTTAGATTCTCGAAAATCTACTACAGGCAATATATTTATTTTAAATAATTCTAAAAGTAATTATAATAATAATATTACTATTAGTTAGATTTTAAAACTATAAAAAACTATAGCTATTTCTAGTGTAGAAGTAGAATATATAGCTTTAAAAGAAGCTACTAAAGAAAGTTTATATCTTAATAATTTTATTAAAGATCTTTTTAATAATAATTCTATTAAAGAATTTAGTTCTATTTTTAATAGAACTAATATTATTAAAACAGATTCTTTAAGTGCTATAGAACTAGCTAAAAACCCTGTTTTTTACGCTAGAACTAAGCACGTAGATATAACTTATTACTTTATTAGAGAAAATCTACTAGATAATAAAATAAATCTAGTTTATAAAAATACTAGTACTATTCTAGTAGATAGTCTAACTAAACCTACTAGTTATTCTAAATTTAAGAATTTTATAAATAGAATTAGTCTAGTTAAACTAGATTAATTATTTAAAACTAGTTATTATTATTATTATTTATAATAATAAAAATAGTATATTAATACTATTATAAAGCTTAGGTTTTTAACCTCTAAGTTTTTATATCTTAGAGATTCTAGTCTAGGCTTTATATTTAGTTATTATTATATAACTATTTATATTAGCAAATAGAAATAGAAATAGAAATAGAAATAGGTTTTTTAGTTTTAAGATAGTTATTAAAACTTCTTATATAAATTATTATTAATAAGTTAGTTATAAAAACTACTTATATTTTCTTATTATTTAGTTATTAAAAACTATAGCTTAAGAAAGTATGTAAAGATTATAATAACTTAGTTATTATTATCTTTTTATTATTATTAAGCTTTATTAAGATTATACTTATTATAATTTTTTAATAAATTAGAAAAATTTCTAGTAAATCTAATTACTTACGTAATTAAGATTTTAGTAGCTAGTTTTAATCTACTATACTAGAAGATTCTAAAATACCTTTATTTATTTTAGTTTAGTTAATATTAGAGTTATTACGTAATTTAATAACTCTTATTTTCTTATCTCTTTTTCTATAATTACTAAAAGATCTAGTAAGTAACTAATTATTAGTCTATATAATATAACGTATAAACTAATATAATTAGTACTAGTTTAGATTATAAATTTAGAAAATAAAAAGAATTTAGTAGACTTAGATTATAAATCTAGAAATTAATAGAAATTAAGTAGATTTAATTATAAATCTTTATCTTTAGGTAAAAATAAGTAAATATTTATATAATTATTCTAGTAGCTATTTTTTATAAAAGAAATAGTAATTCTTTATAGTTATTCTTTACTTAGTAATAATATTATTACTTTTTACCTACTATTTACTATGTAATTATTTTATTATAATCTTAATTAGTTATACTATTTATTATAGTATTTAACTACTTTATTCTAACAAAGCTATATTCTATTATTAGAGAATAGTTCTTGTTACCTATCTATTCTTTATAGGTAGTATGCTCGTTCCCCTTTGGGAACTTGCGAAAGAAGGAAATGGTCACATTCGTTACTGCTTTTGGATACGATGGAAAGTAGGATTACGCGATATGGTTAGACGTATGTTGTTAGTTGGCTCGATGGAGGTGTGTGTGGGGATGGTAATGGGGTGGGATCGACAATGTTACCTTTTTTTCTGAAAGGGATGGGTTGTTCCACCAATGATGCTTGCTTTGCAATGACTCAAGAGTAGTTCTTCTGGGGACTGGAAAGTGATGTTGCTTTTGCGTTTCGTTCATGTGTTCTTCTGAGATGTGAATGATGTGCATGCGGGTGCAGTATACGCTATCATGATAGTGCTAAAGGACAGGGGCGGGTACTCCACTACCCCACACGGAAGAAGCAAACAACAATACTGGTCTGACGTCTTCTTTGCTTTGATCTTCGAACGGGATGCCGCGCTGCATATCGGCAACTTGATAGTGCATACGTAGATAACTTCAAGCATCACGATCGACGTCAGAGTACAGTATCTCACGCCTGGCGAGTAGAACGCACCAATGTAAATTACTCGCGAGCTTCAACAGTACAAACTCGTATCGAGAGCAACCCGCCAAATCCCGACACTGGTGACCCAAGCATCACCGCACGTGTATTGTTGATAGTGCTGAATAAAATGAAGCAACCAGTGAGAAGTTCCGACCACAATGATAAAGGCGTAGTAATTGGAAGAGAGAGACCCGGATATCGGCGACCAACTCCAAGTATCTGAAGCCGCCAAGACATGACAACCATAACGCAGCGGTGTACTCCGCTGCCGTCTGTCATCCGTCATCCACACATACACATACATACACGCGAGGTGCTGAGAAAGCGATATGCACACCGATAACCAACATAATTTGCTCTCTACCTCGGCGCATGTCTACACGCTAACAGGCTGTCGGGTTCGTGTAAGCTCTACAACGCTTGGCTATAGAGTAGGAAAACGCATGGAAGTACCGCCTAGAACTGCCGCTTGAGCGACCCGAGAAACCATATGCAGGTACTGCCCGGTTGAGTAACAATGCATCCGAGCCGAGGAGCTGAACCCGGTCAGCTCAACTAAGCAACCGTCTCCCTTGCGTATATCAGAGAGACCAATAGTTGGCTAAACGCGACCATCGAGATTCACGCATGAAAGTCGCGTATTAAGCGTATCCGAATCCGAGAAACGTGGTTCCCGGTAAACAGGTTCGAAAGCAACAACAAACGCCTCACTTTCTCTCCCACGTAGGGCGGACTCGCCGAGCTCCGCGGATTCATGCAGCTGGCGACAGATTGGGACATTGGGTAGTCGCGAAACCCCATGGATGCGTCTTGTTGGTGTTGTTGTGGTGGGTGTACGGCCGTAGTACTTCATCCAACCCCCCTGCCCGTCACGGCACTCCCGACGCCTCACGCCTGCGTTATCGACCCAGGGCGTCGGTAGCGGGGGGCACCGCTCATTCCGGGTCAAAGGATGTAGATCCGTCCCCATTCGAAAACACGTGCATATGCCCATGACAAGCCTGAACAAGAACTTGAAAACCTGGAATTCGTGTTGCTGATCACTGACCTCGAGGTCGCTACGAAGGATTACAGCCAGGGATAGGCGAAAGCGTATGTGCGTGTCGATCATGTTCCTCTCTCTCGATGTCGTGCAGCAAGGGCGCGGTAGCTACATACAACGGTGGGCGAGTGGGTTTCGAAAGGACACGGTGACGAGAGGGTTCGGAGTCCGCGGGATGAGGATGCGAGGATCGGGCTTGGTGGTGACTGGCTCAATAAGGGTTGCTGGACTTGTCGGCCCAGAGGTCTTTCCAGAATTGGCGGAACCCATACTGCTTCTCGCGGCGCTCATCTCGCACGCGGACTGGCCCTCCAATGATGTTGTCGAGCACGCTCTTCTGGCCGGAGCTCTGCCAACTATCTGCTTTCTTGGGCGGTTTGCGTACGCGTTCGAGGATGGCCCCGGCGAGCTGGGGCGCGACGTCGGCGAAGCAGGAGTTCAGCTCGCGCTGCAGATTGTAGTAGGGTCGTTTAGCTAGCTCGGGTGCGAGGAGGTTGTAGCTGCGCGCCTTGTCATTGAGGTCCTTGATGGCGACTTTCCAGTAGCCGCCTTCGATACGCTCCCAATCTGGGTCGCGGAAAGGGTACGGTGCTGGTGCGACTGTTGGTTCGGGAGCTTGAACAGGTACTTCCATGGTTTCCGTGGTTGTTTCTGTTACGGTAGCTGCTGCTGGGTCTTGCGTTACAGCTTCTGGGGAGGCATCAAATGTAACCTTTTTTGCTACGACTTGTTCCGTGACTACTGGCTCCGCGTTGGGCCCTTCATCTGAGTCTACCTTCAGTCCTCCAGACAAGGTAATTTGTGACATGTGCCCGTCATCGTCAACAGTGGTGAGGGTCTCTTGTTGTTTCCTTCTCAGAGGGTTGGCAATCAGCTCTGCCTTTGCGAATGCCTCAGCTGTCTTGATTTGGTCCAGTAGCGATCCGCCCTTGCTGGCTATCACGCGCGCAGCATGCCTCTTCCAGTCCGCCCGTAGTCGAGTTCTGAACTTGTTTGCTGCCGAAGTGAGCTCTTGCTGCTTTTCGATCCACGGCGGTACGATCTCTTGCTTTTGTATAATTTTATTCATAAAGTATTCGGTCGTGTCGATGAAGGGGCTCGATGCGTTGTAGTCTCTTTCGATGTTGGCCTGCTTTCCGCGCGGGATGTTCTTGAACTGGCCACGAGCGATGGCATCTTCGATTCTCTTGTTCGCAAGAGATGCGATGCCTTGGATAGAGCCAGGGACAATGGTACGCGCACCTGGTTCGAAGCGGTCTTTGAGGTCTTGCAACCGCTTCTCTCGGTCGAAAGCCTCTATACTCTCGTCTTCGTTGATGGCAGCGTAGACGGTACTCCTGTCGCGTGCGTTGGCCAATCTCACGCCACGCCCCTCCTTGCTCCGAGCATGTCCGGTATCAATGGACTGGGGTATAGGAACGCCTGGCATCTTGGCTGGTCGCCCGAGTCGCAGCGGCTTATGGGCGTCGTTCAGCATGCGCAGGCTCGCATCGTGGATGGACTCGGTGCCGGTCCAGGCTTCTGTTGTGGCAAGCTCGCGTGTGTGGCGGGAGGCGAAGGCGGGCAGCTCTGCTTCAGACGATTTGAAGTTTGCAGATGCGATTCGCTGTTCGAGCTGCGCCTTGAGGTCTGCACTGAAGCCTGCCTCTTCCACAGCTTTGACGGCGCCATGTCCTCCCGACTCCAGCGCGTCTTCACTCATTTCTCGCATGCGTCGCGTGAATGCGCCTTCCTCCTTTTCGGCCTCCGCGCCTAGTCCATGGCCATTGTTTCCTGCATCTTCCTGCTCCTGTTTGCCGTCATCCTCGTCTTTGCGCTGTGTTGCCGTCTGCCCGTATCGCCTCAGAGGCCCTGCCGGCGCAGGTCGGGATGGAACGAAGACATTGGATCTTCGATTCGTGCGCAAACAGCGTGCGCAGATGTACTGTCTCGGAAATGCAAATGCGGGCATACAGGAGAGTCGGCGAAGGGAGATGGGGTGTCGGAGGAGTGGCGGCGTCGAATTCTTAGGAATGGCCATCTCCCACGTCATGACCTCCAGGTTTAGCGCGAGTCTTATCGATAGCAACCGGCCGAGGCTCCATCAAGACACCAACACGCCTTACACTCAGACTGCATGCATACACTGTCATGACTTTATAACTGACACCTAATGGTACATTAAGACAGGGGTATATGCTCAAGAGAAGCCAACCATCAATAATTAGCCACCCGCACCACCTTCAGCAACATTCACCAGCAAATCCAACAAAGTATGTCTCTTTTCCTTCTCACTTTTGATCATACACATCGCAGTAGCCACAAACACCTGATACAATCTACTCCTCTTCATGCGCAAGAGCCTCGCGCTTTCCGTCTTTTCCTCTTCCGTCCCGTCCTCACTCCGAGCGAGCATATCTGGCGCACATTCATCAACCAAACGCAAGATAACAGCATCGAAGAACTCCAAAGTACCACTCTTCCTACTCGCAACAGACGACGTGTATACCCCCAAACACACCTCACCTTGCTGCTCTTTTATCCCTTCGGTGGCAGGTAGGCTGGCAACTAGCTTTAGGTGATTGAACCGCAACAAGACACCACACGTACGAGATTCTCGGACTGTGCCTGTTCCTTTCCAGAAGAAGTCAATACCTGCATAGTGGAAGTAATAGCATCTCGTTTGGCGCGACAGAGGGTTCTTCCACCGTAGATACACCACTTCGTCGGCTGTCGCAGGTTCTTCTAACTTGCCATTCGTCGTCGTAATCACATCGGGATCCTGCCCTTCGCCCGTCTTACGAATGGCTTTGACGGAGTGAACGTATTCCTTCCCCGTCTCACCCCACAACCTCCACGTCCGCACTTTGTACCCTTTGAGTTTGTGGTGATCGCCTTTCAGCGCTTTTTTGTCGCCGCCGTTGTGGCGCCATGGTACCACGCCGCGGGGGTCGAGTGTGTCGGGTGTCGATGGGAGGAGCTGGAGCTTGTACTCTTTCCAGAAACAGCCTTCGTGTATCAAGATAGCTGGCTGCCCGGTGTCTTTACTGCTGCCAGTGTAAAGTACGTGAGGCGGCACGTGGAAGGCGAGGTATGGTCGGTGCAGGAAGAAAGCATTATCCTCTGGTTCTACACCAGGTAGTCCAGCGTCTTGACGCTCTTTCTTCTCCTTGCGTAGAGCCTTTTGTTCTTTGATTGTCGGGCCGGATCTTCGTTCGAATGCAGGAACGGAAATTGGTGTGATGCTTTTATAACACTTACGTTTCTCGTAGATATGGAAGATCGACTTCGCCTCGGTGCTAGGTGGTAGTTCGAGGTCGTCTTCCATAGGCAGGCGAGTAACCACAACACCTTCAGCCCGGGTTATGGACGTTGTATTGATTGTAGTGCCCTGATCATGTCAACATCTGTCATGAGAGAGGCTGTCGGTATCAGCACACATACCTTCGTACCGTCCGCTCCGCCAAGCCTGATTGTACCAGTGTCATCTGACTCTATGACAGTCGTCATAGCTCTTCCTCGCGATGTTCATCTTCCTATAGATGGAGCCTGGCATGTGAATCTGGCTAGCCACTCCCTATATGTGGTGGTTTTGATGGTCACCAGATGATGCGCGGGTGTCGCGCCAAGCACTGTTGTGGAGGCTGAGCCGCTCGCATTGCTCGTGTTGATGCCGGCTGCTACATCGTCCAATTGAAACCTTGTGCCATCTGTATGAGATAGTACGTGATGGTTCGATTGGCCACCGTTTTGCTAAGAAGTTGTGTAAGCACATGCAAACTGCTGAGGCAGACTTGAGGCAGAGTTCACACAAACCCGCCCAGGCGCAACACTTCTCAATCGCATGCGTCGTGCACAGAAGTCTTGCGCATGATAGTGTGATACTTTTGTACTTTCCCGATAATGCAGTATGCCATTCCATGCTATTTACTGACTCTCAAGCACCCTCTTCGCACCGTCACTGATGCGCTTGACCTCCTCGTGTCCCTTCTTCACCACCTCCTCCATCTTCTTCTTCGCCTTTTGCAGGTCGTCCGGCAGCACATCGCGATTCAGCTCAAATTTCCTCAGCTTCTTGTTGTGTTCCTGACGCCCTTGCTGTATCAGCTTGTCTGCTCGCTCAGAAGCTTTGACGGCCGACTCAACGGCTGCGCGACGCGATTCTCCCGTTGGCGGTGGGAGCGGGACTTGGATCGTGAGTGGGTTGGAGGGTTCGGGTGTGAGGGGTGTGAGCGAGTGCGGTGAGGCGGCGATGGCACTTGTGACGTGCTTGACGTGCTGTGTAGTGTTAGAACACCTGGAGTTGTTGTAGTAGCGGCTTGACCTACCGTGTCTTCCCCACATATGACATTGAACATTCTCCCTCTAGGCACAACCTGTGCGATATCTCCCAGTCTCACGGTCTCTTTGTTTCCTGCCGTGCCCAATTGCACTTTCAAGTTCTCCACGATTTCAGGGTTCGTCTTTCCTCCACTGCGCAATTGGCTGAGATCGTGCGTAAGCTTCTCTAGGGCCTTGAGGATCTGTGCCTCCAAGCCCGAGACATCGTAGGCTTCGTCGGTAGGTGTGAGCGGACCCGGGTTGCTGACGGGTGGTGCGGAATCGGTTCGCGCATGGGCTTTGTTCGCTTTACCGGCCTTCTTCTGCAATTGCGTGCTTAGAGAAAAGCTCCGGATGGCGTGTGACGAGCATTGTGGTGTTGGTCGCAATATAGGCCTGGGTGGTGTGAGTGGAGGGGTTTGCGCAAACCAGCGATTGAAGCTTACAGACTGCGGCTCCGCGCCTCAATTGACCTCGAAGACACGCATAACGGGCTTGAGCTAAGACGTAGTGCGGCACGTGGTATGGCGGTACGGGACATGATTGCTGGTATATGAGGATGATGGCTTGCTGGTACAGCTGTTTACGCGGGCGGAGGCACGGACAATCTTCCGCACGCGACAGGGACGTCATCGCGTTCCCGAACATAATCACTAGTCAAGCACCCATCCATGGATCGACTACACGTAACTTTCGGTTCTGACTTTCGGTCCTGACTTCCATCCCCGCATTGCTGACAAGCAGATTCCTGGTTCAGATCATTGCTTATCATCAAAGGCTAATTACAAGAATAGATCACGGCATGTCTCTGGGAGGCATTTCGACAGGCCTGTCACCCGTCAAAGGATCCCGATACCAGTTTTCCTCCGGGTCATCCAAGCATTCCCCTACTCTCACCAGCTTGTATCCATGCGCCCGTGCGTTGTCAATCATAAACTGTGTGTATCTATGCACGGTACCTTCGTGGGTGTCGTGCGCCAGGCCCAACCAGGCCCGAACCCCGTTGCGGTTCTTGCCCTTGATCTTCTCCATGAAGTTCTCTTCCGTGTAGGTGTAGTTACCTGCCCAGTCTCGTCCATCAAGGTCGGCTGCAGTCTTTCGGCACAGTCAGTTAGGTCCTTCACACTGCTCTCTGCAAACTCACCACATGGTAGCCGAGCTCTCCCATTTCGGCCTGGCATTCAGGGCCGCAGATGTTGAAGGGCGGGCGCATGTAGGTCGGGAAAAAGCCTAGGATGTCGTTGAGGACGATCTCTGCTTTTATCTGTTCGTCTCTGCGCTGGTGCGGAGTCATCTTGTCCAGGTCCTTGTGGCCCCAGGTATGCCCCGCAATTTGGTGTCCTTCCTTGTATATCCTTCTAATCAGCGCAGACCTCTCGTCGAACTTGTGGGCTATCAGCTCCCAGTACAGATTGATTGTTCTGATATAGAACGTCGCTTTGACGCCGTTGGCCTTCAGGATGTCCAGCAAATCCGCTGTCCACTCCCGCGGGCCATCATCGTACGTGAGGGCAAGCGTATCTTCCACTTTGCAATTGAAGATCTTCGTTCCATAGGGAACATCTCCCAGCTTCGGTCGAGGCGTATCTGATGTATTGAATCCTGGAGGCCATTGGGTGCCATCGCAAGCTAACCCATAGTCCCAAAGACACGCATGTTGACCAGCAAAGTTTGGATGTGTCATGCGAATGCCCTATTCGAAACGATGAGTAAGACGGCAGTTGATGTATCAAGATCTCAACTACTCACGTCTTTCGAGCAGCAACGGCTACACTCAGGTTGCTGAACTCCTGGTCCACATCTTCCGTAGTTGATAGTCTCAACGTTGGCGAGTGGATTTATCACCGGGCATACATTGCCTAATGGAGTGTAGTAGAATGGATGGTAAGCCCCCAATGCACTATTCATGATGGTTTGGATATCTGGATGACTGATGCGGCGCTGTCCAGCTTTTCTACATCCGTTCCGATCATAGCAAGGCCGTAAGCCGGTTGCACAAGGTTCCCTCACGTCTGTTCGCCGCGTGTTTGAGTTTCCATCGGTAGTAGTGCAACATCTCACCGCTCACATCCGAACCTCAGGGGCCAATGCCCCAAAGCGCCGGTATGGACTAAATAAACGCCCGTTAGGCCCGATCTCCAATTGTGCAGACAAAATTAGCCGGTCTTGACTTGGGTACCGAATGCGAAGACCGGACGATCACTTCCTCGGGCCGATTACGAAAGATGGCGTGTATTACCATTAAGTAGGCGAAAACCGTAATGTACAGAACATGGCCAGCCAAACAACCAATAGAGCCACTTTGCGAATGCGACTGAAGATGTGTCGACCTCTGACGCCCGCGTCAGCTATCATCGGTTCCAGACTTCAATCCGCACATCTGCCAAGGTTTCCAGAACTGTGTAGTCTAAGCCAGGTTGTTTCGCCGCGACAACGATGGCGTCAAACGATCTCAAGACGTCGGGCTTCCAAGAACCTTCTTCCAATCTTGATACTTCGGGTATCGCCTCCTGGTTAACCAGAGGATCACAAAACATGAGATCTACCTCGCCAGACTGTCGCATGTAATTCAGCAACTGCAGGCCTGGCGAGTGTGACAGGTCCGACTGCCCGGGCTTGAAACCGACTCCGGCGACGAGAAGCCTAGGGCGGTGTGTCGAACCATGTTTTTTATGGCACTCGTCCATCATGGTTGCGAGAAGCTGGCTGGCGATGCGCGACGGCCGCGACATCATCTTCTCGTGCGCTTGTTGTAGGAGCGGAAGATTGCATGTCGACATGAAGTAGATCGGGTTAACCGGGATGCAATGACCCCCAATTCCCAACGACGGGTACATCGGCAGATACCCAAAGGGTTTACTGGCGGCTGTGCGTGCCACTTCGAAGGGGTCGATCCCCAGTCCCTGACAAGCGTCTGACATCTCGTTGGCGTACGCAATGGCTATCGTCCTTTGGCAATTCTCGTACAATTTTGACATTTCCGCGACTTCGGGTTTGCTGACAGGGATCACAGTATCAAAGACCGTCTCATACAATCGTACAATGGCATCCAGCGAGCCCGGAACAATGTCGTCGAGCCCCGAGACGACCTTTGGTATTGATCTAGGCGGCGGCTCAATTCGGCCTGGGTCGATCCTCTGGTAGGTGTCAGCCAGTCCTCGTTCTTTCGGACGAAAAGATCATCTTACCTCTGGTGACATCCCCGCAAGGATGCCGCGGGATCCGGCCAGCGGCCCAAGGAGAGCTCTTGTCATGCCGACGGCGACGGTACTTTCTATGACTACTATCGATTTGCTGGTTGCGTAGCGTTGCAGCATGTCTATCGCGTTGCGGACATGTGATGAGTCTACTTGCCCGCTCAATCCCAGGGTGGTCGGTACGCAGACGAGAAAGTGTGCCGCGTCCTTCAAATCCCTCTCATCGGTCGAGAATTTGACATTGTCTCTCTGTGAGTGCTTCGATCGCAATCGTTCTATCCGGGAAACCGAGACGTCGTATCCGATAACCTGGTAAGCGGAAGAGAAGACTTCCATGAGATGTTCGCCAACATATCCCACTCCGATGATCGCAACAACGGCATTCTGATCGTGTTTCTCCATGGGAATGTCGTAATCCGGTGATGATCCGTGGTCGTACAAATTGTGATGTACGAAATGACAAGCTCAGTAATCGAGAAGTGCCGGAGACGACATGGTTTAGGGACGAGGTATATATTTGAACTCGCTAAATTACTCCTATCTTGATACTCTACTGAACGCACAATCCCACTGAGACATGACCGTATTGCGATGGCAAAATTTCATCCGGTATTGATACACTAGCAGCGAGTCTCGCTACGCGCCAAGTCTTAGCTTCGGTGCTACCAAGTATTCCGAAGCGGTCCGTATGTTTGGACTCACCGGTGTACCTCCGAACTAATGCGTGTTCAGCATGAAAAATCGCCACAAAAATGTGTTTTAGGAAAGCCACGCACGCAGGCACAAGATGTTGCGCCGCCTGGAGGTACCTCGGTGATCAGCCCTGTCACCGTCCCTGGCGTCCCTGCGTTACACCGCCTGAAACTGTATCGCCTAGCCGGCGTTCTAGAGATTAACCAGACTTCCAATGTGGATATGCTTAGTTTGACGCTCGTACCCTGACACTTGACCCTCAATTCGAGAAAAGGTACATGGCGTTTTTACAACATACTAGAATAGCATCTTTCGCTCCTGCAGCACTCGCCGTTCACCACATCACGACGCAGGAATCCCTATCTTTCCCCCATGAAGATGGATGTCCTCAATACCGCGAGCTCGGGCGCTCAGATTGCTGGCAATCTCAAGAAACGATCGCGCTTTTTCTCCTCCAAGGTTTTGAGCAGCGCTATCGAACATCTTCCAGATGTCAATACGGATCGTCTCAGGATTGAGAAATATGTCATATGGGCCATCTTAATACCATTCAAGTAAGTGAATCAATGCCATCACTCCTCAGTGCGCAAGACACGGGTTGCTAATAGATCTACTCAGCCTTTTCATAATGTACATGTTCGCAAACTGGGCAAAGTATTCCTGGGTCCTCTTCCCAAACCTAATTCTTCGAGCCGTTGTGGATATGATCGAAATCACCATGGTCATCCATGCCCTCATCCGAAAGCGATTGAACCCGCCTAAGATCACGATCCCCGCAACACCGGAGAGCTTGGTCTACCTGCTTTGCTGCTACAACGAGTCGTATGAAGAGATGATGAATTCGCTGGTTTCGCTGGCGGAGCAGCAGTCTCTGGATGATCACAAGAAGGCTATTGTCGTAGTTTGCGATGGTCGTGTTAGCTGCAAGGGCATGACCAAGACGACATCCGCCCATCTCAAAGAAGATATTGTTGAGCGCCCGACTAGCACTTTCATGAATGAAGCATATACGGCCTGGGACGACGGCCCAATGGACATTGAAATCATCAAGGGTGAATTCCGAGGGCTTCCAATCATCTGCGTTATCAAGAACGAGAACCGCGGCAAACGAGATGGCATCATTCTCATCCGGACGTTCCTGAACAAATTTAATCAGCGCAAGGCAAACCCCGATTTGAAGATGATCTCGCCCAAGCTCTTCGCCGAGCTCTCAGGCTTCCTCGAGACCCAATCCATCCAGAAAGTGGATTACGCTATGGGAATAGACGCAGACACCCGATTCGACACCAAATGCGTTCGCAACCTGATGCAGACCGCAAGAGAAGGCGAAGAGATCGTGGGAGTAACCGGCTACATCCGACCAGACCCGATTGCTTTGGGAGGTTGGACAATTTCGTATCTCTATCAGAACGCCGAGTACATGGTTGGCCAGCACCGGCGTCGCCTGCGCCAGAGTCTCACAAGTGGAAAGGTGACGTGCCTGCCTGGCTGCTGTCAACTACTGCGAGTCTGCGAGGAGACAATGGGCGACTTCATCCTGGGGAAATTTGGATACTATCCCAAGGCTTCCGATGGTCTGTTTCGAACCGTCCGTTCCATGATGAGCGAGGACAGAGATCACGTCTGTCTCGTCATTGCACACTACGCCCACGTCCGGACGCGTGTGAACCTCAGTGCGCGGGCGTACACTACGGCACCGACTACGCCTTCGGTCTTTGTCAGTCAACGCCGTAGATGGACGCTGGGGCCGCTCACAAGCGACAGTCTCCTCCTCAGTCGCAGATCGACGGGCTGGATGGAGAGAGCTTCTGCTTTGGCTTCCTTGACGCATTGGGTGCAGAACCCAGCGCTTCTCATCTCGAGATTCTTCCGTACGTACCACTCTGGCTGTAATGACTGAACTTCTGCTAACATAAGATTAATAGGTGACCTGGACGATCGGACCATATTTTACATCGTTGCTTTCGAGTACTACCGACGCGTCTTCGACTTGCTGGTCACCCTCATATCGTGCGATTCGTTCATCGATGTCGTCCAGACGGTCATTGGCTGCGTTGCCTATACCTGGTCCGCGGCCTACGTCAACGTCTGCACGCAGTTCTACACGCTGTGGAGGATGGACGATTTCCGGTGGGGCAAGACGCGCATAGCGGTCGCGGGCAAAGAAGAAAAGACGCACACGGGGTAGAAACAAGGCTTCCTGGAGAATGCAAATGGGGGAGATGTGAGAGGTTGGGCAGTTTCTTTGTTCCTTCTGCTAAAGGGTTCTCGGCCCCTGGCTTAGTTTGAGCGCCAGCGCTTGCAGCCAATCGGGTCATAGATCGTACGTCACCCTCCGTAATGTAATCATAGATATAGAAACGACTTTTAGAGAAACTTTCGACATCTGCATGCGTGTTTCATGGCTTTTTCTGCTTTGCTGTACTTTTGATGCAACCTCGTTGGCGTGACAGGTTGGTGGAAGGTTCGGATGAGATCATGCCGGGCATATGAGATCTTGGAACAACCTCTTTGTTCCTTTTGCGACAGTATGACATCTTTCCTCATTGCCATGGCTTACATTGTTGCCAGGCACGGTATTGATCGCCCCTTCGTTGCCGTCCTCCGTCGTACAGTTAGTGTGCTTACACCGATCGCTCCTTGCAGTTCGCCCAACACAGATACTACGCGCGAGGTTCGCTGACTGCTCGCCCTCAGGTAGTGGAAGTCAAGTTGACCGCTACTGCAGTAGCTCTTATGAATGCGCGCCCAAATGTACTACTATGTACTACTTGAAATGAGGCTCAACAGACCTTGGCGTCGAGTCAGCGTAAGGTTTTCGCATTCGTCTCAGGCAGATGAAGGCAGCCCTGTCAACCACAGCCACGCCTGACATCACCGCCGATCAACAACGCATCACACCAACAACACCCGGCTCCGCCTATTTGCTCCGTCGCGCAATAAGACGTCTGCGCAACCTAGACTTGGTGCGCAGCATGTTTGTCAGAATTTAGAGCGGCGGCACGTCCGTCGCGATGGCAATGCGATCATGTGCTCCGTATTTCCGTGGCCAGCGCGAGAGGCTTACTGCGGCCAGCAGCCCTGAAAGCCTCGCTGTGCCCACCCAGCCCAACCGCCTTGTTGCCGGTCCCGCCACATTGGAAGGGCGGCAGAGGTTTGTATGAACGTTACATTTTGCTATAACGTCTACCCGAAAGCCGGTTCTGCCACTCTATGTAAGGCAGCAATACCCCGGGTTTCTTTCACGCCTCTTGCTGCCACTCACCCGTCTTCTCGCCCACGATCGGCCCCACTTTGTCGACGCGCTCTCACTTCATACGCGACTTGAGCGAAGTCGCCTTACATGGCTCCGGACTCGGCTTCGCTCTGATCTGAGAATTGACAAGAAACAACAATGGCACCACTCAGCACCATGGACATGCTGGCCATGGCGAAGCGATTCCCCGGAACGGCTACGACGCGTACCTCGCCACCAAACAGGGAGAGTATGACGACCGAGGGCGGCTTTCTCGAGGCATGGGCTCAAGGATATAATGTCGGCGCTCTGATCATCCTCATCTTGATCGTCTTCTGCAACTACCGCTCTGGCATGTGGCTTCACAAGCTTATTCTACTTGAGGTGAGTCTCGCTGCTGCTCCGAAGGCGAATCATTCCGCTTCATTATAATACCAATTACTAACCCACTCAGCTTGTTCTTGCCATATGGCACGGCACCTTCATCTTCGTTGACGACCCAAAATATGGCTGGTACCTCAGCGCGACTGCAACCCTACTCTTCATATCATATTTCCTCCACAACGTCGTCTCGTGGCTCAAGATCCGGCCTTTCTTACCACTCTGGGGATCTCGTTTCTTCATAATCTCGCTTATATGTGTTCAACCCTTCTGGGTAGCCGAGGCGTGGTCGAACTTTGCCTACTTCAATCAGCTTGCAAACGGCTCCAATATTAACCCTCGCATGAGGCCGTGGGAGGCTCTCCTCCGCGATCCTTGGTGGATCTTTACAACATGGAAGCTGATACATGCCATCAAGAAGACCTACGCCTTCAGTCTGTGGACTCTTGTCGGTATCAACAGGAGGTTTGGTGTCATGCTGGCATGCATGCTACTCTCCATCGTCTTCCTGCTTACCGACGTTGCCGTCAGCGCTGCGAAAGTCACAGCCAGTAGCGGCATCAACCCATACTGGCGGTTCGCCCTCGTCTTCAAGTGCGCATCCGATACCATCTTCCTCGACGATTTTAAATCTGTCCTAGACGATATCGTCGCCCGCAAATTCACCTCCGGCGATGACTCAGGGCGCCGCCGTTCGATAACCGGCATCAGCCGCCCGAAGAGCTCCCGCTCAACTTCCCGTAATGACGAGTTCATCGAATGCAGCAACCTTGAGCGACCCGACATGCCGTCACACGGTTTTCAGCCCAAGATGACGGCACGGTCGAAATATCGCTCAGCTTTCTCCAAGAACCACAACGTACCAGAGGTTCCGACCATCCATATACAACATGCTGAAACCGAACAGCCACGGAGCCCAAGTCAGGACAGCTGCGATAGTCAAGGCCCTGTGTTGCCAAGGCCGGCGCATACAGTGTATCGCAACCCGGAGTTGCGGGCGAGCGAAAGCGATGGTAGCTTGCTCATCGGCAGGCTCGTCTGAAGAGTTCGAGGTCTGCGGGACAGGAAAACACACATTGGGTGTTCTTATGAA